CTGGCAATTTTCCGACTTCTAGCAGAAATTCAACAAAAAATTATATTGGGGGTTATAAATTAATTTAAATATAATTTAGTTAATGAAATTTATTTATTAATGATAGTTACTGTAAAATTTAGTTAAGTTTACTTTTTTAATAATCAGTTGACTTAGTTAATGTCTAGTAAAAATTAGTTAATTAAATTAATTATTATTTGAAGTTAATTAATTTTAGTAATATTAGTTAATGAAATCAATTATTACTTGTAGTCAATTAGTTTAGTTAAGTTCATGTTAGTAACGCTAGTTAATTAAATTAATTTTATTATTTGTAGTTACATTAATTTGGTTAATTTTAACTTTGGTGATTAATTGTGCAGTAAGTTAACAGTTGTTATAATTTAGTGTTTGATTTAATTAGGTAGTTTAAATATAATGTATGTAATTGTATAATTGGATTGGTGGTTGATGTTGAGGATTAAAGGAGGCATGGGAAAATGTTGTTTGATTTAATTTGCCCGATGGATGGGCCGTATGGATGCAATAATTGTGAAATTGCTTGATATTTTCAGCAGGTAGATAGTCTAATTTAGGGGAGATGCTTGCGAAATTCGGTTTTAGAAAATAAATTAATTATAGAAATTTAAATTAATTAATAGAGATTAAAATATTTATTAGGAAATTAAAAAATATAGAATAAGATATTAGAGTGATAAATTAAACATAAGGAAACCCAATACTCTGTATCATACAATATATATATTATAGTTTAAATTAATAAATGAATTATGCAACTGCCCTAGTAAACGGAACTATAAAATAAATCTTTCAAATTTAAATATTCTTACTTAGAATTCTACTTGTTATTTTTATATGAGGTTTATAAACATTTCGAAATGCGAGGACGAAACGCTGGAAGCATGGAGGATGAAAGCACCAGTCCTTTTTAAAGGACACATAAAGAAATGTTGAGTAGTGTTAGCATAATTCGCTTCATTCCGCCTGCATGCATTGCTATTTCACGGCTAAATGTTATCATGCATTATTTTATTGAAGGCCATATTCATGACTGCACTATTTGTTGATAGTAAAAAATTGTTGATTACTGTGCTATGAATATAACTGTGCCTGTTGTTGTTGTGGCGAATTTGAGAATGTTGAAGGTGGACCACCATGGGTTTGTGAGCGACGGTCTGTGATATGGATCCTGACATATGGATTATGATATTGAACCGCGGGCCGGGAAAATGGCCGGAGAGCATCGGCGCCCCCGTGTTGCACCTGAGATATGATTTGTATGGGAAAACCCACAGGGATGGCTTCTTGTTGTTCGCGCACCTTGAATAATCTAGATTTGATTGTAGCCCGCAGGGTGGCCTCCTGTTGTGAGCACTTGATGCATCTACGATTGGATGGGAGACCACCGGGTTGCCCTCCTGTGGGTATGGCAAAAGAAAAGAGAGGATAGAAAAACAATAGAGAGGACTGTCAGTGAGGATTAGACCAGGTTGGCCGTTCTTATGGTGGGATCGGGCTCCCCGGTGCCCACATGTCATGAGAGGCGCGAGGCCATGTTGTGAGGACGGGCTCGTTTGGGGTTTCAGGTGGTGCCACTGACTAATTTCCACGTGATGGATTATATGAAGGTTTGATGCATACTTCGTGATTTGCTGCTTGCTATTGCCATTTTGTCGCTGAACAAACTGCATGATTCAGTTATAACTTTAAACGGTAACTAATAAAAATATTTAGCTCTGTGTGATTGTGTGGGGCTGAGAGGGGTTATCTAACCCTACTCCATTGAGCTTTGGCGCTCACCCCTGCCTACTATTTTTTTTTTTTCAAGGTAATTAGCAAAGAAATTAAAAGCCTTGTGGAGTTCGAGACACTTATTGTAGAAGACCCTATTTAATGATTAGAAACTAACGAATGTAAATATAAAGTCGTAGAGTTCCGCAATTGTATTCCAGTTGGGTTTGTAAATAAATAGTACAAAGGTCCATATTCAAATATATGAACTGCATTTTTGGAGGTTAATGGGCCTGAACTCTATAAATATCGAATAGAAGGTGAGATTTTAAATAGTTAGGCTTACTACGGGCTTCGGGGGCCTTTAAGCCCACCCAGGGTCCTAGGGCCGCGTCCGGTCCATGGAAATGGGTCGTGACAAAGGTGGTATTCAGAAGCCGGGGATTGAATTGCGGAAACATAGGCAAATTTCAAATAGAGAGAAACTCCTATGTTGGGCGATCGCCAGTAACCAACAAAGCGAGCTGTAGTCGGGATTGAATTCCATTTAGTGCGGTGGCACGCATCGTGCACGAGGATGCGAAGCGGAAAATCTGTATGAAACTTAGGACTGAGAATTAAAAGTACCAGAAATAATTAGGCGAATTATAAAAAGAGTCCGGGTAACTGACGTTTCTAAAATAAATACTTCGAGTTTTGCTACAATCCCCTCCATCTATTGAAGCAGAGGATCAGTTGGAAATTGCGTGTAATGGTCTGCATCACCCAGTACACCATTGATTCGACAGGGAGACACTTGCTTCGACAACATTATTTGAAATTATCTTATAAAGAGCAAGTCGGAGTTTTAAAGATTATAAGAAAGTAAATATTTTGAACTACGATTTCGAGAAAAAACATGTTTTATATTTGCTTACTTGGAAACATTGTTTCTGAAGTTGGCATTAATTGTTTGGTTTTCTTATTTTTGTCGGCATGGTCAAAAATTTCTATCTGATTTTTAAGAACTTTTAATTCATTTACAATGAATTGCATGTTTTGATTAAATTATCATCATTGTCTATCCGATTGACTAAATAGGCCTAAAAATAGAAACATTAATACTGATAAGTTAATAATAAATAGTATCAGAATAAATGAATCTGACTGAACAATGTCAATTAAGATATAGATTAAATTCTAAGAAATGTTACTGTTAGCGCGCATTAAAAAGTGAAAAATTGCGTAAATTTAAATCTAAATCCAAGGGTTTAGAAAGGGAGGATCTAAGACAAATCAATC